ACCTTGTCTGGATTTCCAACTTACTTTCTGCCCCGTGTCGAGTTATAAGTCCCTCCGTATTTCTTCCGATTAAGGATGAGAGCAGCAATTTCTGGCACGTAGCGAGCAAACATGGCCTACATGCATGGAACAGAAAAAAAACACACACACACACAAACAAACAAACAAACACAAAGAAAAGAAAAAAAAAACAGCATGCAGAGAGGGTTGTACCGCACACACAGCAACAGAAAAAAACCACAACCACCATCACCACCACGGCAGCAGAACTCTCTGGAATACTTACTTTCTCCCATTAACCGCACTATAGGAACCACCATATTTCTTGCGGTTTCCTATTAACTCTATGATTTCAGGGACGTAGCTGGCAAACATGGCCTAAGGAGAAGATAAAAGACAGAGAGAGAGACTAAAAAAGAGACTAGTACGCCACAGAGTGGAGAGTGGAGAAACTGGCGCCTGGATTCCAGATTTCTGAGAGGAAGTAGAATTATGGAGGAACTTCACTCATGGTCTTCTGGGACTTGATGAACACCAGAAGAATGAAGAGCTCCAGTTATGAATTCTTTTTAGCTTTGGCGAAGATGTTTTTACTTTCGCCCAAAGTCTGATGTTTTCACTCTGGTTCAAACCTATGTGCCATGTTTTGTCCAACAAACACAGATGACGTGGCAGGTCGATTTGAAAAGACCCACCTGATGTTCCACAGCTGCAAAACACATCAAGGCTCGTTTGGTTTCTGCTTTCAGGCCTAAGAAAATGAGCTGGATGCATTTTGCAAAGTTTCACAGCCTAAGGAGGAGCAGGAAGGGTTAAAGGGAGTCGTGGAGCTCCTCAGGGAACACGTCCAGGGCCACTGGTCGTCTTATCACACTTTTACCAATGGTATAAGACCAACGTCCAAGTTTCAGCGGGAATTCACATCAATGATGCCTTCACTGACCGAGGGAAAATGAGTGGTATGTAACTGAACTTAATATTTCATTATAAAAAATAATTCATAATTTGAACTTAATATTTCATTATAAAAAATACACTCTTTTTTTAAATACGTTTTTAAGACATAATTCAGTCAAAGTAAAATATTAGAATCAAATACATGTTTATGTATTTCAGTCGATGACACCAACATCTCCCGTCTGGACCAGAACCATCGCCTCCTCCTCGTAAATACACTCTCAAGTCGCGCTTTGTGAA